TTCACATACATAATCATTTTGAAATTTCCATTTATATCAATTACATTTTGACGGTAAAAACATATGCAAAAGTTTAAAATTAAATTGTTTGATTCTGTTATCCATGGCTTATACACCACTCAGATAAACCTACTACATTTATGCAAGGAACACAGAACACGAGGCCATACTCTGAAACTAGAGAAGACATTTGCACATCTCGACATCAGGAAATTCTTTTTCTCGAATAGAGTAGTGGACACATGGAATAGCCTATCTGAAGAAGTAGTTAATGCCCCATCTGTAAATGCCTTCAAAAACAAACTCGATAACTATTGGAAGAAATCACCTTCAGTATATGACTTTGAAAGTAACTAGAAGAAGAATGCAGAACTATTCCACCCTCCACACACACACCTCGACACGAAACCACAACAAACAGAAGTATTGATGCAAAGGAATTCAAACGATCGATGAACAGGCTCTGTCCTACCAACATCGATGGATTAAAGTAAAGTAAAGTAAGTTATCACGTATAGCATTAAACTTAAAAAAATCAATACTAGATTCCAATTAAAATTGAAGGGCATTGCTAAACAATAAACTTTTCCTTTTTTTTCTGCACAAAAAATTAGTAGATCTTTAAAATATCAATATCACCACCCATTGATATTTGTATGCATTTAGAGTGACGTAATTGTAACAAACCAATACGTAGGTAATCATCCCACACTTTTGGAAAGGCTTTCTTCACCTTTGAAAAGTTGAAGAAAACAAAACAGTTTTGGGAACTTATATTTTGGACACATGATATCCACATCGTTCCAATGCCCTTGATCAAATATATGTTTTACTTTAAAAATCCCAATTTGTTCCCATAACTTAAAATGCAATGTATGGTTATCAAAAGTAGTTTACTATTATTCAATAATATTTTATTGTCAATATTTGTAACAAAGTGCATATTTACATATCTCAACTATGACCAAGATACAAAGTAAATCAATTATAATGATAACAAAGAAAAAAACAGATGAACTATACTTATATCACAAACTCAATTGTACGTAACATAATTTCCTTTTTTCCAGAGTTAGGCCTATCAATTTTAACCTCTGCCCTCCACAATATTTCCTTTGCTTAAATTTGGAATATGTATGAAAAATTACATTTTCTCTTTTGTGTATATAAAACATGAAAGACAAATTAATTAATAGATATTTAAAAATTACATATTTGTATTTTCACCGTAATGAATTACATTTTCCCCACATATCTAAGATAACTTTCCTATCCCAATTTTAAGCCACAACTTTATTATTTATTTTTACTTAGATATATCCCCAGACATTTTACTGGCTCGATCAGCCGATAAATGTATCCCATTTCATACAATTCTTTTAAAATCTTACACTAAATATATAACATGCATTGTATTCATAATCTTGACACATATTTGTATATAATGATTCTATATAGGTTTTCTTATATTCTATATAACATTCCTTCTTTCTGTTACAATCAATAGAATATTTCACACTGTATTCTCTATTTTTTTTATTTTACACAATTCCCACTGTATTAGCAAATCTAAACCACTAATTTTACATTAGTTGAAAGTATTTTCTTATTTATTCATTTATTTCTGATATTTGTACAGGGTAGCTTATGTTCACCTATACGGGTGGTCTTCCGTGAGGCAAATTATTAAATGTCCTCTTAATGATACTATCGTATTACATATATAGACGGTAATTAGTTATCAGGTGATTGAACTATAATCATTACTGTATAAGACAGGAGAAAGACAATTTTGGCTCAAAATAGTCCAAACTCCAGATATCATAATCGCAATATACATATTTACAAAGCATATCTACAAAGTACATGTAATAGTAACAAACGTTGATTGGAATTAATATAGCATTTGAATATACAAACTATAGTGAACAATTTAACATACCAATATCTTTCATGCTGATAGTGAATGATGTCATTCATTCAATTTGAAAAGTTTCATGCCATCCTAAATTATGAGATCTATGAAGCAAGGTCCATCAAGTACGAGGATGGATATAAGTACTGGGCATACAGCTGTATTTTATTGTAAACGCATCATAAACCAATGATAAATACGTTGGAATACAATGAGAATTAAGAATTTAAAATCAATCACGGCGAAACGGAAAAGAAACCCCTCGGCATTCTCTTTTATTGGGAACGGACATTACAAGAGTGTTTGAACATGTATTTAAAAGTGCTCACAGAGGGGGCCTTGTTTTTCTTCAATGATCTGTCAAATTGATTCCATGCTATTAATGAAGACACTAGGGGGCTATGTTTAAAGCATTCTGTTTTATTCGTTGGCATAGAAGGTAAACCTCCATCTTCCTGCCTCCGTATTCTCTATGAAAAGGTAAGTTACACACAATAATAAGTGTTTCCAGCATTTAAAGAGGTAACAAAATGAATTGACAGAAATAAAACTATCCAACGTAAACATCGGTGGTTCAGTGGAGGAATGCCTGCCTGTTACGCAAGCGATAGAGTTCGATTCCCGGCCGATGCCAGTAGTTTTCAGTTTTAAAAGGACGCGTTCTCACTTTTTACGTGGGATATCTAGATTTTTAAAACCATTTACATACGTGTTGATATTGATGGCTAAAATTCCCCCTTTTTTCTATTTATAATCATGAAAACCGGTTATTTGCTAGTATCCAAAGTGTGCTTCCTGTAATATTGACGATATTCTATGTTGACGCCTCTCTTTTTTTCTTCTTTTCTACGCGGGGATAATTCCTCTCATACCAACTCAGTAGTTCAACGAATTGCTCATCAAGTTCTTACTGATTAATGTTCAGACGAACGAATAATTTCAACAGACGGTATTTTAAACGTTATTTCTGTCTCTGTTTTCGTTGCTTTGAAAATCATTTTGAAGTTTGTGACGGTGTTCGCGCCGCTCCCATTGTAATCCTTTCAGCATTTATATTTCCTATTTGCTTAAATTCTTCAAATTGAGAGCTTCTTCAACGCATCTACTAGCGAGAGGACGTCCCATATGCCAAGACCGAATTCTTCTTTCAGAGACGTCAGGCAAAATTCTGGAGCCAGATTTAGCAGCTGCTTGATCTGCTTCAAGCGGGTGCCATCTACTTTCTTGAAACTATCCTTGCTCGTATCAACGCCATGCGATCTCAGCCATTCTCCCGCTTCTTCTTCATCCCATGTGACAAGATCTACCGCTTTCTGTGGGCGGGAATTCCCCCCGTCTTCATTGCCTGTTGGTTTGTCATCTTTGATTCCTCCACTGCAGTCTACGTCATCTTCCGCTGTTCCACCCCCTTGCCTTTGAGCATGGGCTGTTGGATTGCTTGCACCTACAGGCATGATAGGAGTAAGATACAGTCGTGAAGAGTTATATAATTTTATAGGTTAGGGCATACTAGAGGAACTCATGCGGAATCCCTTTCACTCATGTGATTTAGACAAGTTTTTATTATAGATGGGGACGAAAATCAGTGTTTAAATGTTTCGTCAATCAATTAGAATATTCTTAGACCATTCTCTTTCTGCAAAGAAAGAAAGATATTTGTATATCGGATGTACATATTCATTTTCTAGTGCATTTTGTTTACAGAAACTGTATGGAAAAACACACTGCGGGTAGGACGCATACAGAAGAGTTCCAAAAGAAGGCTTACCTGTGACCTGATCAAGCAACGGCACGACCAGATCTAGTTTCTCACGTTTGCCTCTATCGCTTAGCTCAGAGACCAGATCGGGTAGGCACTGTTTCATGCGATCGTCTGAAAACATAGGGTAATACTTCTTCATTCCCATGAGGGCACCGAGCCAGTCCTCTGGTGTGAATTGATCTTGAAGCATCAGGGGAATTATGTCTTTCTTTAGGGTGAAGGCGTAAGTCGCTTCTGATAGATACACGTATAACATCAAACAAAAGAAACAGCACAGTCAAGGTAAAGTACAGGAATATCTAAGTGGGGGATCCAGATTGGGAGGGGGGACTTGGGAGGCTCAAGCTCACCCCCATCTTTTTCAAGCTTCCCACACATTTTTCTTCATTAAGAATGACTTTGAGTGAGGCACACGTAGAAAACGAATTCAAGAACCCATGAAGCCCCCTCCCCCTTCTCGAAGACCACATCCTAAATAATTCTTACAGAACCACGCCTGTTCTCTAGTAACGAACGAAAAAAGTTTATCCCTTTCCAAATAGCAAAAAGAAAAGATGAAGAAAGAGAAAGAAAAAGGAAAAGATGGCCTCTATAGGAAGTAACATGAAGAGATGATGATACTGACGACCCAAACCCCTTCCAATATTCGATGGCCTTTCTCTTCTGAAATGTATCCTCCTAGTTGGTCTGATGCCCCCTTCCGTTCCTTATTGCTCAGTCACACATTTGCGTATTTGGCTTGCGTAATGCTGCGTATTTATGGCAAGCCGTTTAACACTTATTCCTATTTCTTGATACCAAGTATTATCATTGCCTTATAACAGAAAATAATTTCTTGAAATCAAGAATTCATTTCTTGACATGAAGAAATAGGAACTAATTTTAAACGGCTTGCCATGAATACACAGCAATAGACCAGTTCACGGTTAGCACATTACTGCAATGACCCTGAATATCCACAGATCTTCAAACATGAAGAGGTCCCACTTTGTACATTTTGAAATAATCACTCCTACAGCGATGGAGGTGCTACATAAATAGCCTTTGTTTCCCCTTTTCAAAGAATACTTCCACCTGAGTATCATGGAGTGCATAAATGAATAATGATTACATAACTTTCATAAACACGTATCCAGTATTTTGTCTCCGTGTATTTCACAATTTGTTCTGCAATGACCTTTATCTGCTCATGCTCAGACTGCAACCGTGAACTGGCTTATACGCAAGCCAGATACGCAAAGGTGTCACTGAGGCATGAGTATAAAAAAGGGTGCCCCTCCATGGCTGGACCTACGCTTCGCCACTAACCGTTAAATGTGTGTTTTATTTGTTCTCACCTGTACGACAGTTTTGACTTTCTTTGAATTTATGACTCATGCAAACCAGTACGACCGAAGCTCCCTGGACTGCCTTGGCCATGGAATCCAGTATATCGCCTTCTGTTATTAAATACGAAAGACATGAAAGAGGATTATGTGTAGGCCTACAAAACGAAGAGGGAAAAGACAGACATGTGGTTTATTTAATATAAAAATGAAATAACATGTTAACATGCAGTGGCAGAGATACAATAACTTGGGTGACAATGACTTCGGAGGTAAGCGCTTTATAAGCATCGTTTTTTGTATTATTATTTTTATGCCCATCTCATGATGAAAGGAAAGAGTAAGAACACGAAATGAAGATGGTTCATCCCCCAAACCGTCCCCTTTCATATAAAGTTCTTGTTTTCTTGAATTTCACCTACCTGCATGTAATAAGTCCGCCGTACCTCCCCTTCCCTGACATCACTGCCATCATTCCTTAATTTAATGGTTATATAGACCCACGCTACAAAACTGAACTAGAAAAATAAAATAAAAAGAGGTGAATGAAAGAAAGGAGAATGAAAGAAAGTGATAGTGGTCAAATGAGAATTGATTAATGAAAAGAATAGTTCGTCAACGAGGGAGAATAAATGAAAGAAACAAACAAACAACGGTGCAAAAAGAAGAATGGATAATGATCAAATGAGGAAGATTATATGATCATTCCTACTCATTTTGTCCACATCCATCCATACGTTGTATTCAGATTCTTCCAGATGGCGCTTGACTTGCAGCATTCGCTCCTGGCTTGCATGCTGGTAGCTAATCATGATATGACCCTCCACATGACCAGGCGAATCCTCCCTCTTCACCGAACTTGGACCACGATCTCCACGTGTAGGGGTGTGACCTTTGAACTCTTCATCGATGTCAAACACGTCATTGATGACGAAGAGTGCACCCGAGCAGGCGTCCTTGACATCACAATTCTCAGTCGTTTCTCTAATCTTCTTCAGTGCTATCGATAAGAATGTAGGAAACAAAATAATCAAATATTTTTAAATAGTTGACATTAAGAATGTATGAATCATTTATTGTCGTGTAGACATAACCACTTTTCTTGAGATTACTCGTCGATGTAGACATGCGGTTGATATGGTGCCAAGTCCTCTCTTTTTATACAATACAGAGACCGCAAACAAAATGACGAACAGCTATGGAAAACAGAAGCATAACACGACAAGTAAGAAAGAGAAAGAAAGATGAGAGTGTGTGTGTTTGTGTCTTGTGGGAGATTGGGGATAGTGAGTAAACGATGACGTTTATTTATATCTTGGATTGTAGTTGTATCTTAAAAATATGTTTTAAAGCCACGCTAATTATTTTGATAGACTGATTGCCATTAAAAATATTGCCGGTAGTTTTTGCAACAACTGTGGCGAAACACCAAAATGTGAAGAAAGAAGAAGAAAAAAATCGACGTTATTTGGTTGCAGTGTAAATGCAGCCAGGTTTTCGTTTATGGCGAGGTTTATTGTTCAGTCTAGGACTGAAGTTAAGAAATCGGTTATTGTAATAAATAGAGTAGGGAGCAACTGTTGCCGTACGTAGCATTTGTCATATATTTGTTAAGATTATAAGCACCCACTTACTTTTAAGGAGTTTTGAACGCTGATGTATATTGACTTTGTTCTCTTCTTTGAAAGCCAGTTGCCATATTCCTCGGGCAGCCCAAAGCTTTTCTTCGTCGTTAGATCCTTCTTCCATCAGGATTCGCTCCAGGACGTCTATCCCACCAAGTTTTACGATGAGAAGCTTGTTGCAGTCGTTGATGGCCAGCTGGTTGAGTCCTTGGAGGACCTCGAGTGTCGAGTAACTGCCGACCCGAGACCTGCCATCTGGTTCACTCATGGCCGACTTAAGAGCCAGCAAGAGGAATTTCAGACACGGTTCATTTAGGGATATCTTATGAATTTCTGATTTGTCGACGATGAAGGAAAGCGCCAAGAAGGCATGGGCCTGAATCTCAGAGTTCTTCGATTGTGAATACTCCTGGAGGGTAACAACGAACTCTCGACACATGACTCTGTTCTCGGGTATTCTCCTACAGCAGTTGTAGATGATGTTCAGTACGTGATGGATGTGTCCGTCGCCTAGATTCGTCTGGAGATCTCGAATGACCATAGTAAGAAGACCCTTCTCGCCAAAGGCATAGGCGAACTCGTCCGAACAATCTATTAGATTGGTAATACTAACCGCCAATCCCAACAACGTCTCTGAGTCGAGGAAATAGGGGATGTTTTCATGTACAAGACTCTTCCAAACCAACGTAAATATCTCAAATATTTCATCATAAGAGACCAAGTATTTGATAATGGCAGATTTTGCGTCCCCAGTTTTCAGAGGGTAGATCTTGTCGAGAATGTTACAATCATCGATAAGGGTAAAAGCCTCTAATTTTCGACTTTCTTTGAAACTTACAAGAAATTCATCGATCCCATGGCAATAAGCTTCAACCATCGCCTTTTGCTCTTCCGTCAGGTTTTGCTGTGCGTCCATGGTGGCAGCTTCATTCAGTTTTGAGTAATAATACCCTATACCTATACATATTACACTGAACGTAGTCCACTGCCTGGACTGTTCTCTACATGATCCGTGCGCGCTCACATATTACTAGTACACCATAATATACACGTACGGAAACAGAGCCTGAAGGAAGGTGAATCGGTGGGGAGTACGCATTTCATACACGCGTATGGCGCGCCATATGCCCAATAACCCCGAAAAACATTGTTTATCGCCGATAAACAAGGTTTATCGACGAAAAACAAGGTTTATCGAGCGAAAAACCTTGTTTATCGTTAGAAACTCTGTATATCGACTGATAAACACAGTTTCCCTCGATAAACAAGGTTTATCGACGAAAAACAAGGTTTATCGAGCGAAAAACCTTGTTTATCGTTAGAAACTCTGTACATCGACTGATAAACACAGTTTCCCTCGATAAACAAGGTTTATCGACGATAAACAAGGTTTATCGAAAAACAAGGTTTATCGAAAAACACGGTTATTCGTATTTCGTCAGGAGTGGGCGCTTTTTAAAGTTGCACCCAGCTCAGAGCACTGCTCCGCACGTGCGCTTTACACCGTAGAATATACCAACACCGTAACACTTGCTCGCGCTCATGACCACGATCGACATTTTCTGAGTGGAGGTATGGCGAAGTATTCTTAATTCCAGGCTTTTTCCCCAATTTTTGAAATGTTATGTTTATATATCTCTCTCTAGCCCTCTCTCTCTTTCAAACTTTCTAGGTTTTCCCCTTCTCTTATCTCTCTCACTCTCCCCCTTTCTTTCTCTCACTCTCTCTTTCTCCTACCCTCTCAATATAACCCTTCTGTCTCTCCCTCTCTTTCTTCTAATTCTCTCTTTCCCTTTCTCTTTCCTTTTTCTTTCTCTGCACTCCCTCTCTGCCTCCTCCCCTTTTATCTATTTCCCCCGGTATGAGAAATAGGGTAGAGAGATGGTTGGAGAGAGAGGAGATATAAATGAGAGATAGAGGAGAGATAGAGCAGGGGAAAATGAGAGATAGAGCGGGGATAGATGGATGGATAATTGGATATAGATGGAGAGAGAGAGAGAGAGAGAGAGAGAGAGGAGAGATAGAGGAGAGATATTTTAAAGATAGATGGATGAAGATAGAGGAGAGGTAGAGCGGGGATAGATGGATGGTTAATGAGGATAAATAGAGGAGAGATAGAGGAGAGATCAAGCGGGTGAAAGATGGATAGAGATAGATGGAGAGAGAGAGAGAGAGAGAGAGAGGAGAGATAGAGCAGGGATAGATGGATGGAGATTTGAGAGAGAGAGAGCCCGGTCCCACTCGCCCATTGACTAAACCGGTGTAGGGGTTTCAGGAATATAGCGACTTTTCTTTTTACTTTTAAGCCATATTAGCATAATCATCTAATTAGCATTATAATTTATGTGCAATATGTAATAATGTTGCTAATCTCAATCCAGGAAGCCTGGAAACATGAATAATACGATTTTTCAAGGGTTTTCTATGAAGAGGAATTCATCTTTGGCACCAGATTTTGATTCCAAGTAATGCAATTGTCTTAAATAGCATAATTAGCATAATGAGCTAATAAGCATGTTTACAATATATGGACTTCATTGTCAATGTTTATCTATAAAGCCTAAAAATGGTGCAATGCAACATTATAAATCACTTTTGAAAGACTAATCATTAATTGGGAGTGTCGTGGTCGAGTGGTTTCAGGCGCTTGTCTTGGAGATGCGAAGGTCGAGGGTTCGAATCCCGACACGGCACTAATATCCTTTGGCAAGATATTAACCTGCACTTGCTACTCTCGACCCATGTTTTAAATGGGTACCCGGTAGGATGCGACCGTCATTGTTGGTCAAACAGTCTTTGAGCGTCATGTAACGCCTGGCTGAAATGCTCCCCAGGGAGTGGAGATTGTGCACACATTGTGTAGAAGTTTTTCAGACCTGGAAAAAATGTTAAGTAAAAGATTTTTGTTGTTGATTTGTGTTCTAGATGGGTATTGAAGTTAATTCAGCTTGGTTGCCAGCTTGGCAACCTTGGGCAACTTTTTTAATAGCCAAATTAGCACGCCGGTAATCATCTAATAAGCATATATGTGCAATGTGGAATTAGGGTAATTATACTACATCTACATGGAATATCTTCTCATGAATTAATGATTAGTCTTTAAAAAGTTATTACAGTGTTGCATCGCACCATTTTAGGCTTTATAGATAAACAATGACAATTAAGTCCATATATTGTACACATGCTTATTAGTTCATTATGCTAATTATGCTATTTAAGACAATTGCATTACTTGGAATAAAAAACTGGTGTCATAAATGAATTCCTCACCATAGAAAACCCTTGAAAACTCATATTATCCATGTTTTTAGGCTTTCTGGATTGAAATTAGCAACATTATTACATATAGCACATATGCTAATTAGATGATTATGATATTGCCTATTAAAAAGTTGCCCAAGGTTGCCAAGCTGGCAACCAAGCTGAATTTACTTCAATACCCATCTAGAACACAAATCAACAACAAAAATCTTGTACTTAACAACTTTTCCAGGTCTGAACAATTTCTACAGGACTATACATAGAGATTCGAAAATAAAACACTGAAGCGATCAACATTGAATCAATTGCTGAGCAACTACCTGCGTAACTCCCTAAAACAATCTGCCACAGGACATTCGGGATGCTTCTATCCTGAAAATCTCCAAGATTTTTTTGAAAACAAACCTCTTCCAATAATCCTCATTCAATCGTATGTTTGTAATAGTGTAGAGTATCCATAAAATGATGTTTGCTTTACCTATGATATTTTGCTCTGTTCTATAGCCTCTCACTTCGTTGTGGTTATAATTATATTCTCTTTAAATATATATTTTGTTATTTTTATGGAGCTATAATTAAATGAATTTTGATAATTTGTTAAGTATTTGCTTATGTTGGGGTATATTGTGCATTTTTCGACATGTCAAGGATACTACATCTCGATTATTTTCAATTGTAATTATCTCTTTAAATTCTGCCATACTATGAAAAGCGCACATATACGTTTTGAGGATAATGCGTTATATAAGAATATACTTACTATTATTATTACAAACTTTTTTTTTAATGGTTTATTTTCGTCCCAAAACTAAGGAACTGGGGAATAAAGGCACATATTCCAACTTTTATTTCGCTTGTCTTTTAATCCATACCATTGGGAAGTACACATCTATTTGGAAAGTAAGAGTTCAAAAAATGGAATTCATGGCAGAGAGAAAGAGGGGGTGAATATAAACGTGCGGGGATGAGGGGGGGGGGTAGAAGGGGAAGGGCCTACATCACATGGAGAGAGTGAGGGGTTGGCTGAATCAGAGGGGAAGAAAGAGAGGGAGTTAGAATGGGGGAGGACACAGCTATATATGAAGCATCCAGGGTAACATAATTGTTTTGATGATTTTTAATTAATTTGTAAGTGCGGGTCGTAGATTTAGCAAATCAGCATAAAATTGCCCCCTCCCCCCCCCCCAACAAAATTGGGATGTTAATTACCCTCATATTAATTTTTGGAATTTCTATTTACCCAGGATTTTTACAGAGCAAAGTGTCTTTGGAGAAGGATGGGACAACCAAATCGTTTGAAAAAGGTATTAGTTTTTTCTTCTAATTTCCTGACGTTTAAAATAGGTCTTTTCCTAGTTCATCTAATTAAAATGTTTGTGTTTTTGTATAAACCTTTCCCATCTTGCCTTATCTTCCTCTACGGTGTCTTTACATTATATTCACTTATTCATTCATTTAATTCTGATACCTGTACAGGGTAGCACATTTTCATCTATACTGGTGCCATGTTTAGAAACCACTAGATTTAATAACAACCATGAATATCAACTTATTACAGTCATAAAACAAACAAAACAAAAGGAAATAAGTAAAATACAAATTATTGGATATCCTCGTAATGATACTATAATTGTATTACATAGCCTAATAAAGAAAGAAGAAAGACAATTTGGGGCTAAAAATAGATCCAAGCATAAAAATTATGTCCATATCTAGAAAGATTGAATTCCTTGTTAACCCTAATAAGGCCGGGCTATTTGAAGTCTTACTACGGCCGGGGGGGGGGGGGCATTATGGCCCCCCCCCTAAGATCTCGGCCGTGAAACTGCCGATCTCCGCGAAAATCTGCACGCATGTCAAGTGAAGTGTATAGAACAATATGATAATTTCAATTTTTTCTTTTAAATCACTCATTTGCATATTTATGGTAATTTATGCAAATAACGTCATAAAATCACATTTTTACCCATAAATCATATATTATTCATATTTAAGCATTCTTTTTCACTACATATATTCATTAGACCATTTGGAACAATAATACGACAAAACAAATTGGAAGAGCCAGCTTATTCCCTATGTTATCTCTTGTTTTGATAATTTCTTATGTATTTCGTTGTTTTTTTAACTTATTTATGTTATTGTTTTTTTTTTTCTTTTTTCATTTCTTCCTACAATTCAACTATTTTGACTCCCAAAACAACACCTAAACTTTAAACAAGACCCAATAACTAATGTTTGATCTATTTTTAGGAAAAATGACATTTCCATATGTTTTGTACACAAATCACAAAAATGAGCGATTTTCGGGCTGACATGCAAAGACAAAAGGTCACGTGACCTTGTAACTATAGGTCCGATCTTTAAAAAAAAAAATTAAAGATGCGCAAGACTCTAAAGAAAAAAGTCAGCGAGCGGCGAGGCGCGATCCATATGCGTTCTCGAACAATCAGAAAAATCGTGGAGGGGGGGGGGGGGGCATAATGGCCCCCCGGCCTTATTAGGGTTAAGTAATACACGTCAGTTGATTGGCATTAATATAGCATTTGAATATACAAACTAATATATAGCAATTAAACATATAACAAAAAAATCATGCTTATAATGAATGATGTTATTCATTTAAATTGAAAACTTCATGCCATCCTACATTATGAGAACTCTGAAGCAAGGTCCATGAAATAAGAGGATGGATATGAGTACTGGGGGTGTTTC